AAATCCTGTATGAATTCATCTGCCGTGGGGTTTTATCGTGCTTCAGATAGGGTCTTCATTTACATTCAGCACTGAAGGTGAAAATAAATGTAGCTTTAATTCAAAGGCTAATTTAGATGTCAATCTATGATTAACATTCCACACACCATTACTGCCATCAAAGCTGAATGTATGCACAAATCTTTCTGGGGCCAAAGCATTTTAAAGCATCCATTTACTCTATGCCTTTTAGATAAAGAATTACTCTTATCTATTATTTATGCAAGGACCTTAACCAACTAAATCTTTACAGTTAAGTCTCTCTCTACATAATTACTCATGGTTTTCATCTGGCTTCTACTCCATACACTGGTACTGAATTTTACCAGCACTGGGATGTACCTCTTGAATTCACATTATTGTTCTGCATACATGCTTCCTTCAGACAGACATACATTAATGTCTTTCTATCAGCACAAGTATTCAGCAAAGCAAAAAAAAAAAAAAGGTTTTTCAGGAAAAAAAGGTTTTTCAACAGGTAACAGCACTGACTGCATGGTTTGGTGAAACAAAGTATAAAAATGAATGACTAAAAATAACAATCAATATCCATAAGTCTTAACAAGCTGTTATAAATACTATGTTATAAAATATTATATCTATGTTATTGGTAAATATAGGAAAGATACTTCTTTTTCCACTCATATATAGCAAAGTGTAGCTAGTCCCCTTGAGACAGAGTGGAATCACCAAAATTTTAATACTATATTTTTGGCATGCAATATATACATAATGCAACAGTTAAGAAACATATACACGTGCAGTATACACAACGTCAGTGCAGCCCTGCTGTGGATGGTGTCCATCATTACATTCACAATACCAGTCATAACATTCGCTAATAAGAAAAACAGTAACTGATTTTTGTTAATGGCAGCAATCAGGCAGATGTGCACAGCCCCTGCCTGCCGCTGCTCCCTGCTGTCTGCAGCCTTCACAGCACGCCAGCACGAGGGCACAGCAGAGCCCTTCACGAGAAGCTTTGAGAACACCAGCACAAGATCAGCCACCACGAAGCTGACAAAGAAGGTGAGGCAGTGAGCGATGACCCACAAGCAGTAGGACAGATTGGCCATGCGGCGGGACACGGGGTCTGCGTGGGCTTGGGATATGTGGAGAAACACAAAGAGCACCAGAGCTGCCAGCAGCAGGAGGCACGCTGCTCCCATCCAGTCTTTGACGGAGTCTCTGCGCTTCAGCACATAGAGCCCCACCTGCACACTTGCCATGTATATGGCCAGGTACCCAAAGAGGGACAGCAGCCCTTCCCTGTTGGCATTCAAAAAGCCTGTCCTACTATCTTCGCCATTGCTGCCGTGCAAGACAAAGGTCTTCAGAGAGGTAAGGTTAAGAATGAGCTGATAAAGTACAGCAACAGTCACAGCCACGATCCAAGATTTATTTTTGGGAAATATGGCTAACAGCAGAGATGCCACAAGCCTCACAAGGGCTAAGGTAAAGAAAAAATTCCAGTGCACACCATACTCCGAAACGTGCTCGTGGTACTCTATAGATTTAACACTAAGGAGTCGTCCAATGCCAAGAACAACCAATGGCCAAATGGCAAAAAGCTGCTTGGCCAGACTGGAGAATTTGGGTTGTGTCACAGCCGCTTTCTGCCGAACTTCGGGACAAACGAGAGCGTTACCGAAAACGAAAGCTCCAACCCCCAGATCCATAACTCCTGTTCCATAGGTCTCAGCTTTGGCATATCGTCGTGGAAACTGCGGGAAATCCACTGCTAAGATGCTGATGGAAGTCAACACATTGACATAAACACGGAACACGGTTATGGCCGGAATATAGTCCGGATCCAGGTACGTGTTCTGAAAGTCTTTCACTATTTGCCTGAAGGGCACCTGGCTTTGGCGGTATATTGTAAAAAATATTCCTGCACAGAGGGCTGTGAGGATGGCTGGAACCAGGAACAACACTGAAGACAGGACTGTGCAGGAGAACAGCAGAGGGGCGACCAGCACACCAAAGTCCAGCAGCAGGCCGGAAGGCCTCGAGCTTAACGGCTTCCCGCGATGCCGGCAGAGCAGCACCAGGAGCAGCCCTCTGCAAAGCAGGCAGAGCGGGGCCAGCGGCATGCCCAGGGTCAGCTCCAGCAGGCCGGTTCCGTTCAGGTTACTGACGAAGGCTTCTTTCAGGTGCTTCTGCGACATTCTGCTTCCTTCCTCTGAAATGAGAAGCACGAACCGGAGTCGGTTCCGTGGAGCAGAACTCACAGCCTCTCCCCAGGTGAGCGCTACGGGCAGCTCGGTGCGGGCAGCCGTGGGCTGCAGCAGTCGCAGCGTCCCGTACAGCTCGCCGTGCCCGGGGAAGCCGAGTAGCCGCTCGGCTCCAACGAGACGCTTCAAGCCCTCGCTCCCCAAACTCTCCAGATAGCAAATACATTGTAAGCAACCATACCGCTCTGCGGAACGTAAGTGTGGAGCAGACACGAGGAGGACGCGAGCCTGAAAGTCGCAGCTGCCACTCCGCCCGCTGCGCTCAGCCCGTCCCGCACTATGTAAACGCAGCCCGCGCTCCCCGCCCGCACTTTCCTCCGGCAGCGGCGTGCAGCTGCTGTTCCGCAGCGCCCGATTCGCCACGAGCTGTGCCCGCAACCCCCGCCCCGTCTCCTCCTCCTACTCCTCCTCCCCTTCCTCCCGCCGCCGCTCCGGTCCGCTCCGCGCCGTCCGCTCGGCCCGCGGTTCCCGGTGAGAGCGACCCGGGGAGGATCGCGCCCGCGGGGACCGCTGAGAGGTCAGCGGGGAGCGGGCCGGACGCGGCTCTGCCCTCCGCGGCGGTCGTGCCGCCGCCCGGGACGGGCTGAGCGCGCTGACCTTGGGGCTGCCCGCCGTTCCCTCGGGTGGGAGCGGGGCCGGGCCGTCCCCGCGGCCGGCGGTCCCATCAGCACGCCCTGCCCGGTGCCGCGGCGCGGGGTCCGCGTGGGAGCGGAGCAGGCGGGAAGAACCCCGCTGCGAGCTGCTGTGAGTCACCGCTGGCCGCAGAGCACCGCTCCCGTGACGCCGTCACAGCCGCGAATCTTCCCTCGCGTAGCTCTGTGCGCCTTCCTCCCTTCTTAGCGGTGGGACTCGGGGATGGCTGCGGATTCTTGCCGGGGAACTTCGCTTTCTTGATTCGAGAGAGCGGCGGTTTGCTCCGCGGCGGTCGCACGCAGCGCTTTGCAGTTGGATGCGGATCCGCTCCGCTGCCGTCCGGATCTGCGTGCGGAGCCCCGCGGAGCGGCACGGCTGTCCTTGTCCTCAGCGCTCGCCGTTGTGTTGAAGGGCCCTTCGGACTGGGTTGCCTGAAGGACCCCGAGCTCAGCCCCTGTCGCACGGCCGGAGTTTCCCGCAGCGCAGCGCTGCAGAAGTGCCAAAATGCCAAAGCAGGTAAAAGAAAAGCGGGAATTGTGTGAGCTGATCGCGTTCGTACCGCCGGGAAGCGATTCTCGGTTGTTTCCCTGCAGTCAGGGTTAGGTAACTGCTAACGGATATTCACCCCGGCATCAGGAGCTCGACTGCACCCATTAAGTGTGCGGTTTTGAACGGCATTACTAACGCACTTTCGTGCTGTGTTGCCCTTACAGTAGTGGTGATTTTTGTCACGCCGTTGGCATGAACAGGGTGATGTTAATGCAGGGAGCAAGCACATCCTTAAGGGTCGCTTTGCAGTAGGACCGACAGCTCTGCAGTACAGCTGTCACAAGTCATTCATTGTGTAGAAATAACGTGATGCTATTCATTAACTTGGTTAACTTGTAAAGAATTGCAGATTTGTGTTATTAAATACAAATGAGCAGGGTTACTCTGAAGGAGTTCCTGACCAGGAGATGGGGAGCAGAAAAAGAATATCTAGAATGCAAAAATCAGGACTGGCATCTCTTCCCTTCCAGCCGCAGCATAACAAGCAGCACCTGAAATCTCTCATCTGGCTAAGTTTTCCATTACACTTGTGTAACAAATGTGCCCTTCCAACTACTGTTGTCAAGGACATGGGAGCCTGGAGGCTGAGATTTAAATTCTTCTAATGATCCAAAGGAGACAAATCTTCACCTAATATAATCTTCACCTCTTACAGTGTTAGCAGTTCTTTCCCCTGGCTGCAATGCATGCAGTCTTCAACTTCCGTCTCAGGACCCTCTCTCTCTGCTCTGAAAATGGAATCCTCTCCTAGGAAAACTGTTGTGTTGGACCTCATTGCTTTCAGCTCTGCAGCCAGTCCTGCCTGCTTCCCTCTGCCCAAGTCAGTGTGTGCACTGAGTGGGTGATGTCCATAGGCTAAAAGTATTCAGTTTAAGATTGCTGTACAAGCATGTCTGTGCTGAATGTCCTGCACAATTGCGAGCAATGGATCCTATGAGTTTTAGGACACATTCTTTTTGGGCACCTTTGCTTACAGCCTGTACTGCCAGCAATGAATTCAACTTACAGTGCTGTCAGCCTGCCATCTCTCATATGGCACATAATACTTTCTAAAGACAGAGTGTGCCATGGAAAGCAGTGATGCAGAGGGAGGGCACTGCTTTCAAACTGGGAGGAACAGCAGCTCCAACATTAAATTATTATTCCTGCTGAACCTGTACATGTGTTACATGGATGTGGTAGAAGAGCTATAGCTTGTAGGGAGTGAAATGACAGTCCTGCTATACTCAGCCATGGACTGGTGCTGATCTGACATCCTCTCTAGGTAAACTGCCAAAAAGAAGATTCCGTCACGCAGAATGACGTGAATGAATCATTTGAAGAAGAAGTCAGAGCTTTTCTCAGTGATGAAGAAAAGCTGCATCTTATTGATGATCTCACAAAAGTTAATCCAGTGACGACGACGACAGGTGAGCAGTGAGCCAGGAGATGCACTTTCTGAGGGGTCCCTTTCTCTGCTGGTTACTGATACGTGGTCATTACCATTCCCACCAAAGCCTACTCAAATCAGCTTAGAAAATCATGTGTTGTTGAAAAATTTGTCAGCGCTTTTATTGCAGATTTAGCCATACTGATCTCTCAGCAAGCTTTGCATGCCAAACTCACATTTGTACTGTTGGTTTAGGTAGCCAGTGTTTGGTTGAGAGTTTATGGCACCGGATTGCTCCTGCATGACCTTGTGATTGCAGTTCAGTTTCATATGAACGTATCAGGAAATAAGGTTCCGATGTAGATTCAACATATGTCCATAAAATTGGTTTGGAAAAGTGAATTCCTCACTTGGCTTTTAAAGATGGCCCTGCTGAGACAAGCTAAGGCATCTTTCTTGTGCAGATGGGGAATGACTGGCTCTGCTCTGCAAATGTACAGCTTTGCTTTCTAGGATGTGCTGTGTACAAGCTCATAAAAGCATGCGATTTAATGAATTGTGGAGTCAAAGTACTTAAGCTTCTTAAGAACAAGGGCAACTTTTAAAGGCATAATTATGTATATTAGATCTATAGGTTTCTCCTGCTCACCTTCTCATTCTCTGTTAATCATAACAGATAACATATCTGAAGATTTTTGTTACAAACAGGAAGAGTCAAATACATTTTTCAAAATACGCTAATAGGAGGTGTATCTTTCAGTTCTGAAATGTCTTCAAGCAAGATACACAGCAAACTTATTTTATACAAATGCTGGCTGCAGCCTGGTGGCTTTAAATCCATTTCAACCCATCTCCTGCCTCTATTCACCTGAGCTTATGAGAGAGTACCACGTTGCTGTTCGCCCCCAGGTAATCCTTGTATTTGAAATCCCTGTCCTCCTGCAGGACCCAGATTTCAGGCTCTTCAAAATCTCTGTGTGAGCAAAATAATTCTGAATGATGAAGCCCATTTCTACTGAAATATGAGTTCTACTTTCAGACAAATGCAAGAAATCCTTGCTGTCCATTGCTGTAGAACTATGTAATTACTGTTCTCTTAAACATGAATATTCTGCTTTGCTGCCAGGATTTAAAACCTCACATCTTTGCAGTGGCCGAAGAAACCTACAGAAATGTTCAAAGCCAGATAGACCCCATAAACCAGACTATCATTGTTAGTGGAGAAAGTGGTGCTGGGAAGGTAAGGAGATTGTTTTCTGTTGACCTGACATTGCTTTTATTGTTTGAGATTTGGTAGTGATTTGTAGTGCAGAATACTTCAGTGAGCAAAGAAGACGGAGCACGTAGCCAGCCTGCTCTAGCAAGACTCTCCTGACATATGCATAAAGCATTAAATGGTCGCCACAGTCAAGTAGACTCACAGTAACTGCTTTCTAGGTGACATCTGCCACTTGTGGAAGGGCTGGATTTGAATCCTTCAGTAGGAGTTGCACCTGAGTTGAAGTCTCAGCTTAGTCAGTTAGGAAGGTCATGTCTCAGCAAACCCTTAAGAGGCAGGAGAGGTCAGACCCTGTCCTAGCTCCCTCTGTAATATCCATTCCTATTCAGCAAAACACTTGAGAATATTTTTAAGACTGAGAACATGGTTTGCTGAGTGTTAGTGACTCAAAGTCTGTTTATATTCAATTCATCTTAAGACACTAGCTATTACTTCCAGCTAAGCTTCCAGATGGTTACATCTTGGTAAAGCTGCCATTCAGCAAAGCACTTTGATTCCAGTAGGATTTACATGTGTATCTGTTGCGCATCAGCTGATGCACAAAAAGTTTTGGCTGAGCTGGAGCTATAAACCTGACACCATTGCTCTCCATTGTCACCAGATGCATACTGTGTTCTCAGAAGCCAGCACTGTTTCACTAACTGACATAACATGGTAAGGACAAAGGCCTGTTTTCTCTTGCAGACCTGGACATCTCGCTGCCTTATGAAATTTTATGCTTCTGTTGCTGCTTCTGTTACCTCCCCAAAAGGCAATGAAGCTGTGGAACGGATAGAGAAGAGAGTGTTGGATTCCAACCCTATCATGGAAGCATTTGGTAAAAGCAGCTTTCTTAACAGCATGGACAAGTAGTGGCCACGGTGGGAATTTTCTTTTTTAATGTACAAATTTAAGCTACCTCTTGCTTCCTCTCCTTAAAAGACAAAATCTTCAAATAGTGGAACTGTATACAAATCAACTTTTAATGTCTGTATGTCCTACATGGAAGAGTAAAACAGAGTAAAACCACTGATGATGATGTATGTCTGTGGTAATTTCACAGGAAATGCATGTACGCTGCGGAATAACAACAGCAGCCGTTTTGGGAAATATATTCAGCTTCACTTGGACAGGTAATAACTACTGTTTAGATAGCTTGTCTGTGGTCTCCCTCTAAATTTGATGAGGGGCATTTTGTTAAAATCTGCTCTTTTGCCTATTTATTCCCTCTAGGTTTCACCATCTGAGTAGTGCTTCCATTCAGACTTTCCTTTTGGAGAAGACAAGAGTTGCCTATCAGGCCCCCAATGAAAGAAACTTTCATATATTTTATCAGGTTTGTGTTCAGTTAGTTTTGCTAAATGTTTCTGAGAAACACTGAGTGTGAAATCACCAGATTTAGCACAGTTGTAACTTCCAGTATTTAACAGTTCATCTGTCTGCCATGCTTCCAAATTAATCTGTACTCCCAGTCAATTATTATTCCCCATCTACAAGATGTGAACACCCAGGGCAGAGTCTGTTCATTACTTTATTTTGTCTTCAGATCACAAAAGGTGCCACTGCAGAGGAGAGACTGGCATGGAACCTTCCAGAAGGGGCTGACTACCGCTGGCTGCCAAATTCTGAAAGAAACTTAGAGGGTAAAGATTAGTTTCACAAACTGTCCATCAATAACAGATGTGACACTGAGGGAAGGCAGGTAAAAATGCATCTGTCTCACTAAGTCCTGTGACCCAGGTTAGTCATCCAGCACTCTCCTGGCCTGACCACAGCAGATTTTGCAAAGCCATCTGCATTAATGTGATTCAGTTTTAAGTTTCAGTTTGCACTGCTAATAGTTTTCACCTGACTTGAAACTGCAGTTTCTGGCCCAGCAAATTTGCATTGCTCTGTGGTTACGTTTAAAACCACCTTGTCTTTGGATGCACTTCAGCAGCCTGCTGCCCATCTTCACAGCCCCAGAGTCAGCAGCAAATCTGTGATTTGATTCTCCAACTCTGGTTTGGGATTTACCAAAATAACAGCTGGTTTCCTCGATCTCTTCTGACAATTCCAGCTGAACTGGACGTGGAAGAGATTGTTCTGCATGCCTCTGTGTGCATGGCTTTCTTACTGAGTAACACCTGTTTGGCTTTTCAGAGGACTGCTTCGAGGTGACCAGAGATGCAATGTTTCACTTGGGCATTGACCACTCCACTCAGAACAATATTTTCAAGGTCAGGTATAATGCATGGTCACCACAAAGCTCATGACAATGCTTATAATGTCTTTTTAGCATTGGGATTGATGTACATCTGCTTCTGTAGACGTGTCCAGATGTCCATGGGTTGTTTGGCAATGCTGCCTGGAATGGCTGCAGCTACACATTAGGTTGCATAACCAAATATTAGTTTTTAACCAAAAGCCTGCAGCTGTGAACTGTAGATTTCTTTCAGTAATGCTGCACGAGGAATTATTGTAGAAACTTGGAATCTTCTTCCTTTGTGTTGTTTTTTTTTGTTTGTTTTGTACAGAAATGTTTTGATTTGCCCTGTTGATGTGGCCAGGCCAAGAGGACAATGCCTTGGAGCTCTGTTTTAGAAAACCCCGTGCTTGATTATCTTGCAGGTATTGTCAGGCCTTCTCCATCTTGGGAACATTCAATTCTGTAATCCAGTGGATGAATCTCAGCCTTGTGAACTAGAAGATAAAGCCAAAGGTGAGGCACCAAGCATGCTGTACTTTAAGGACTATTGTTATCTTCGAGCAGATGTCTAGTAGAAAGGATTAATATATTCCTCTGCTTGATAAGAGACCATCAGGGTCATAGGCAGACCAAAGTTTAAGTGTGCTTGTGTTCCAAGCTTCATGGTTTCAAACTACTGCACAAAATCTGAGAGATAACACCCTGATGTTACAGGTTTTTATGTTACAGTCATGGCAACTGTAGCACTGGAGTGTCACTTCAGAAGGATTATTGGCAGGGCTGTTACAACTGATCCTAATCTTTCACTGACATCACAAGACTTCCATAAATCTGATCTAGAGTGGAAAGCAAGGCTTTTAAATTTTCAAAGCAGAGCTTTGAAGTTTTCCTGATAAAGACTAACATTCCACAGTCAGAGCAAATCTGCTAGGTTGCTGCACAGCACGTAGGTGGTTCGGTGTATCTTTAGGAGATGCAAAGCTCTAGTTTTCCTTCAGAACTAAAACTGTCCTGAACAATGAAATTTCATACTGTTATTTCACATGCTCTGAATTCACACTGCTGAATATTCAGATAGTATTGAATACAGCTCAGGTTAGCAACATCTTAAATCCTTTGTTTGCAAATACTCATTTCTCTAATGAAGAGAAGTTTCTGCTCAAAAAAGGTGAACAAATAACAAGGACATAACCTAGAGAGTAACCTCTGTAGTGCTCACTTCAGTGTAGCAAACTTCAGACTTTTTTTTTGATACTGTTGTTTCATCTTAAATAGAGTACTTGCAATTCTAGGGATACTGTACATGCAAATTAAGAGGCTGATTGTATAAAACTTTCTTCTGAGTTTGGGTAAAACGATGCAAAATCCCATATTTGAGTTGGGCAGTTCACAGAAGAGCTGGGTTTTTTAGTATCGTCCCTAGCCCTTCCATAACCTAAAAGGACCTGCATTCATTTGACACTCCAGATAGATAATCTTGAAACTCTTTTTCTCCTTGAGTAAGACTTTGTGAAGACTGCAGGAGACTTGCTGAAGATACCTGTGGAAGAGCTGCTGGAATCATTAAGAATTCGAACAATAACTGCTGGAAAACAACAGCAAGTCTTCAAGAAGCCGTGCTCTAGAACTGAATGTGACACTAGGAGGGACTGCCTTGCCAAAGTGATCTATGCTAAGTAAGGACATGCAGGCCAGGCTGCTGTGCTAATCCATGCAATTTTTGTGAGGGAATTCTCCTTTCCCTGGCTTTCTGCTTGGACAAAAGAACAGTATAACCCTGCCTTTCCCCTTTGACACACCTTTGATTCAGTCACAGATACTGACGTCACTGCAGTATCTATTCGATCTACAGAGAACTTCTGGTTTATTGCACGGATTTTGTTTGGGCACTAAGAAAAGCAAGCACTTTTCCAACTAATTCAGTTGTTATTGTCCACAGATTGTTTGAATGGCTTGTTTTGGTCATAAACGAAAGCATTTACGCAGATACATCATTGTGGACCAGCTTCATAGGTATCGTTTTTCATCCCCAGTTTAACTGAGCAACCTTAAGCCCTTCAGTCTACTCCTAGATTAAAATGCACTACCTTATGATACTCCTAGGTTTGTTGGATGTTTATGGTTTTGAAGCCTTCCCTGAAAACAACTTGGAACAGCTTTGTATTAATTATGCCAATGAGAAACTGCAGCAGCACTTTGTAGCACACTATCTGAAGGCGCAACAGGTAACACTCCACTAAGACCTAATGTCAAATATCTGATTTAAAACAGCATCTTTTGTCTCTCTAATTGTATTTCTGTGCTTCTGGTCAGACCGCAACCTTCAAACAATGCCACAGAAAACAGCAGGATGTGCTAAATACATTGCTGTCACTAACCTGACTGGCCATGCACACTAATTCAAGGTCTCATCTAATATCTTTGAGAGATACAGACTTCCTGCCAGGCCCAGACTGCTACTCTTGTAGACTCCATTCAGTCCTGGTTGAATTTCTCCCTATTACACATGCATTACCACAGTGATCTTTGTCATTAACTGGAATCTGTAAAATTGTATCCTTAATGGTACCAACGTGATGGCACTTTCTGCCTCAGAGCATAGTTGTATCCATTTATTCAGAGATAAGTACCTCTTTGCCCTTAATTTGTGCTTTCATATACTAACCAGTTTTTTTTCCACCTGCCTTTGTCAGTATGCCAGGAGTTAATGGTCAGCAAAGATGGAAACTAAGTTCAAGCACACAATCACTTTTCACTGATTCATAACCTCTGCTTAATAGCATTCCTACCAGTTACTGCCTACCCTCTTAGCTCTCTTGATCTGGCTGTGTCCCAGACCACTCGAATGCCATTAGTGGCTGTGCTGAGCAAGCTTTTAGCAGGAGACTCGTAAAATAACCAGCCAAGGCTTCTGCTTATTAAGCACTCCTTATAGTTTATTCCATAATTCGGCATAAATACTGTACAAATGGTTTCATCTGATACCTTTGTCCATTTCCTTTTGGATCAGACTGGTTTAGTAAGACCGGTTGGTAAAGTTTGGCACACAGTGGTAGGCTCAGGGCTGTGTCCCAATCTAAGCAGTTCCCTGCCCTTCAAGGGAAAACCCAAGAGCTTAATGTGACTTTGTTTACTTTGTAAAGCAGCTATGAAACTCTCACTGATAAATCTGTAAAGTTCCCAAATAATGAATCTAATTGTTCAGGTGGGATCTGCTGCTATGTACTCAGAAGCTACTTGGGATAAAATATCCTCAGTATTTTTTTTTCCTTAAGATTCCCGCTGAACTCATGAACTGAGCTTTGGATGAGTAGGCTGAGTCTGTGATTAACTTGTTTGTTTAAACAGTAACTGCATCATATGCTAAGAAAAAATAGGCAGTTATTTGAGCTCTAGTGCCCTCTGCTGCAGAACATTCAGTTTCTCTCTTACTTTAGGAAGAATATGCATCTGAAGGTCTACAGTGGTCTTTCATAAACTACCAGGACAACCAGAGCTGCCTTGACCTGATAGAGGGCAACCCTCTCAGCATTTTTTCTCTGCTGAATGAGGTAAGCAAACTGCTAATCCTTCTGGCCTACTTGCACACCATCCATTCCAAACCAGCAAAGAAAACACAAGTGCTAAATTAGAATGAAACTTGCCAGATGTTGCCTTTAATTACTAAAAGACATCTTTTGTTTGTTACGCAGGAATGCCGTTTGAATAGATCCTCTAACTCTGACCTGTTTCAAACTCGGATTGAAAAAGCTTTGTCTGATAATCAATGTTTAAGTCGAGACAAGTTTAGTAAGAAGCCGAACTTCATTATTTCACATTATGCTGGGAAAGTCTGCTACCAGCTGGCAGCAATGGTGGAGAAAAATAAGGTAGGTGTTTTCAGAAACAGCTATTTAAAAAAACAGACCAAAAGCAGATTTAGATTAAAGCATCACTAGTATGTATATCCAGCAATGTTTACTGACTCTGCACATCTTACTACAAATAAATCATCTCAGATTTGAAACTACAGCTGTGGCTCAGTCAGTTATTGTAAGAAGTACAACTCCATCTACATAGGAAGAATTTTTAGTGATGTGAATAAAAGGTGACAGGTTTCTGTGTAACTCCAAATGCTAATGAGTCACATTTGTGCTTGCAGGACCCCATTCCACCAGAACTTGTCCGTGTCCTGCAAAACTCTAAGGACACTTTGCTTCAGAAATTGTTTCCCATTGCAGAAAACCACCAAAATAATACGAAAACGCAGAGCAGAGCGGCTGTTGTTACAGTGGTGTCAAAGTTCAAGGTACATGCACTACTCAAGATTCTGCTTTCTAATGCTGTCTTCATAACTAGATGAGAGAACATTAGAGTTGGACCAAGATCAGTAACTGTTATTAAATGAGATGGCTGTAAACCTGAAATGGCATCAGGCTCTGATAATCTCTGGGTTTGCAGCTTTGACTCACTCAAGTTTTACCCTTAACAGCTGGGCATCTCCCTTTGTCAGGCTTTTTTGTATGTGTTCTTATTGATATATTGGCTTCAACTAACAGCCCCAATACAGTTTTGAAACTTTCTGAATTTGCCATCGGTCATTTTTAAAAGAATCCATATTGATACCAGCTGTGCTAATGCTGAGAGCATAAAGTCATTCTTAGGGGGGAAAAAAAAAAAAAGAAAAAAAAAAAAGGAGCTCAATTGCTTCTATAGAATAGCACCAATTCACTAAACTACCTGTGGAGGAGGAAGCTCTTGCACCTGTGTTTCTCCTGAATTTCTTTGCAGAGTTCACTTGAAAATCTCATGCAGATCTTGAACAGCACCAAACCACATTACATCCGATGCATCAAGCCTAATGCTGACTGCAAGGCAAGGACTTTCAGAAAAGAAGAGGTAATTTCTCCAAAACCTTTCTTTACTAAGTCAGAAACTTCCCAGAAATAACGTGCAGGGCTTTGCATTGAGTCTCAGATGGCCATGATTCACTTGTAAATCTCTTTCCACAGTATATTTCAAAAGAATGTTTTTTCCTTTGAAATTTCCAAGATAAATGTCCTTTCAGAATCAGATGAAGCATGTCTAAAATGGCACTGTTAAGCTCAGCAGCTTGTTCAGGTGCAACTTAATTGTTGCTGTATGGGACATTCCCTTACCACAGTGCTCACGGGTTATTTGGGATGATAGCTTCTCAGCTCACAAAGTAGGTAAAGTTCATCTGGCTATGGCTACCCTGCTCATAAAGATATCTTCACAGTGCAAACCCACAACAAAAGTCTGCTTGGGTGTTAGAAAATGCTCATTAGCTGTGTAATCCCCTTCTCCACCCTCTCCATTTGTTCCCTGACCACCAGCGTGGTGGCTGAGCAGAGCTGAACACGGCTTGGGTTGAGTGCATCCCATGCACACCTTCACTGCAGCTTCCACAAAGAACAAGAGTTTTCCTAAAACAACTCAATTTGTGCCTCAGGTTCTTAGCCAGCTTCAGGCATGTGGAATAGTTGAAGCCATC